GGGGGGGGGGGTGCTGTGCGGGAGGCCTACCTGATGACCGTGGGGTAGAGCTCAGAGGTGTAGATGTAGGCCACGTTGAAGGCAGCGCTGATGGTCAGCTTCCCCAGCAGAGACAAGGACCGGCTGTTCACCACTGCGAACACGCCTGTGTCTGAGAAAAACAAGGGCCCGGTGGAACAAAGCTTTTTCAAATGACCCATTTAGTTCTGCAGGCGTGAGAGGCATACATGTGGGTCTCAAACTGCAAGGGGGGAGCGTAACTGAACAGGCATTCTGAAGGTTTTGTGACCGCTCACAACGCAATGCAGGTGTCTCCTCAATGTGCTGGCTGCTCCCCTGAAATCTCACAGGGTGGGGGTCATTCTGCGTGTGTAAACCACACTCACTCCTGAATGACAGGGCTCCCCGAAAACTCCCATTGTGGGAAAGCAAGCTTCGGGGAAACTGCCAAGGTTCATGGACCACAGGTGTTGACTGTGTCTCCTTCCTTCGCAGCCTTGGCCACCAATCAAGGAGGGTGTAAAATGGTCAGCGTGACAAGCCCTGGCGGGGACGGAGGTCAGTCTGAGAGACAAGAGAGGCGGGGGTGAGGGCCAGAAGCACTCCTGTCTTCCAACTGCAGTCCTTGGAGTCCCATTGCAAAAGTAAGGAATAACCCCATTACATCACCACCAGAAGGCCTGAAACATGAGTGTTCGTGAGAGCACGAGGCTTACAGAACCCCTTCCCATCCCTCCCCCCCCAACTCACTTGAGTTAAGAATCAATGATATTTCAGTTTCTTAACATAATGTTTTCACATAATGCAGAAATACAATTTATGTCAGCTCACTTCCCTACGGAAAACACAATTAATTTTCCTGTGGTTCTTTCCTTTCTTAACATTATCCCCTCTGAGATCTTACAATTTAATTGTTTCCTTTCAAACATATTCAGCCTCTCCCCTTCAGTCACCCGCCAGCTTCAACCTTCAAAATAACAATTTCCTCCCGAGGGGAAAAAAAAATACTCATCGACTCTGCTGTACCCTCCCCGCCTCACTATCAAACATCTCCAATGAGTGACCAGCCCTCCATTTCTCGATGCAGCTGCCCGGTCACTCGCCAGACCCGGCTCCCAAAGCCACCCTCTCCTGACACTCCTCCACTTGAAGGTCAACAGCGATGTCCGAATCCCCAAAGCAATTGCCTCGCACCTCCCTCGGCATTTCCGCCGAACAGAACACGCCTGCCCCCTCCGTGGGTGCCGTGCCCGGCTCACACAAACACTCTTGCCTTAAACAACGCAAGGTGCAATACCCTCTCCTTCCTTCGACCTTCGTGCCCTTTGCCGATCCGTTCAGCTGGCACGCCCCGGGCACTCCGGCGGTCGCCTGCTCTCCCGCCTGGGCTGCCCACAACACACCCCGAGTGGGCTCAGGCTGGGGCCGGGCCCCGCGTGGCCATTTCCCTCGCAGCAGCCCCACGGTAAGGCGCACAGTGGTGCTCACTGAGTATCTGCTGAACAAGTATCAGTGGAAGGACTACGACAGGGATTATTTTTTGGTAAAGCTTTATTTTAATAAAAGAAATCTTATATTGTAGAGGTTATTTCTTCTCTGGCACATCTTGCCTTTAGTGGCCCTAAAAAGGCGGTTCCTTCTGCATTTCAGCATTGAACAGAATGCAGCAAATACTTTTAACCGGCCCATGAAAGAAAATGTGTATCCTGCTGCACAGAAAACCTCCCAGGCTCCATAATTTAGAATAGTTATTTTAAAAATTTTAAGAAGTATTTTGTATATATTGTTCAAATAGCATTTGTTGACAATTGAGTGCAATTTAAAAAAATGTTACTTTTTTATGCTATGTGCCTCTTAACCCTTATAGAGGGATTAATTCGGTGAAAAGAGCCTGTTCATGCCCCCTCAGCTTCTGAGCAGGGAGGCGGTAACACACTCCATCTACAGTACGTTTCACCTTCGCTGCCTGACAGCGAAATAAATCTTCATCTGCTTTGAAGCTGGTTCCTGGACCCCGCGGCCCCGGCGCGGCCAGGCTCCACCACCTGGGCCTCCCCCGCTCTGCCGGGCTGTTTGGAAGGAGATGTTTTTGACTTTAAGTACCGGATGGATTATTTTAAGCCATGAGGTGCTTCTGGGAAAAGATCCCTGCCTTTCAGCATTTACCCTGAGACAGGTATCTGGACTCTTGACATCTAACAACTTCAATTAAACCAATAATGAGGGCAAATTAAGTCCACGGATTATTTTCCAGGAAACTGAGTGGGTGGCATTGAAGCAAAGAGCAACGTGCACGTTTGCTTGGTTGCCAGTAACTCGGGGTCTGTTGAGGCGGCATCTTCCAGAGCTGCATGGAGACGCGCTACATCTTTAACAACAGGCCAGGTGGCTGCCCTACGGAAAACTGAATTCAAATGGCCAAACCCCCACGAGACCCAAGGCTGGAAGAAGTTCCCCAGGTGAGGCTCCGGACACCTCCAGCTGGCCCATCTGGGACACCTGGCTCAGCCACCTGCCCTCAGAACATTCCCGTCAGCCTACCGTCCTTTGTTGAAAAGATTATCTTTTTCTACTGAATTGATGTATCTTTGTTAAAAATCAATTGCCCATGTGCATCTTCTCTATGTATGTTTTAACTAAATAAAACATTTAAAAAAAGTGAATAAAATCTCAGCCCCATCCTCAAAAAATAAAAATAAAAAAGCAATTGACCATATATGTGGATCTATTTCATACTCAATTCTGTTCCATTATTTACACAACCATTCCTATGCCAATATCTTACTGTCTTAATTAGTGTTAACTAGTAGTAATTTTTTAAAAATCAGGTAGGGTAAGTCCTCCAACTTTGCTTTTCATGATAAAAATTACTTTGGATATTCTAGATCCTTTGTATTTCCATAAACTTTTAGGTATTATCAATCTCTATCGACAAAAAGGAGCCTGCTGGAAATTTTATTGGGATTGTGCTGAAGATGGATCGATCTGGGGAGAATGGACATCTTATACAATATTTCCTGATTCTTGAGCATGATAATCTCTTCATTTATTCTATCACTATTATTGCCAATTCATTTATTTAGTCTTTACTATCTCTTCCATGTTTTACAATTTATAGTTTTCTATAGGTCTTATACATATTTTATAAAACTTATCCCTAAATATTGTGTATATTTTACTTCATTATAAATGTCACTGTTTTGTTTCATTTCAATTTTAAATTGTTTGTTGCTAATAGAAATAACATTGTGCGTCACATGGCTTTGCTATACTCTGTGCCTCAGACAGAGAGGCAGTCATATACAGATGCTTAAAAAAAGCTGGTAGGTGGAGGTGAGTTGGCAGAAAGGATAGAATATGCACGTTCGGCAAAGAAAAAATGAGCATTAAGAGCCGTGAGAAAGTGAGTGGTCTCTAAGCTCACACAAGATGCTAATAGAATTTTTCAAACTACTACTAGGCTTCTTTCTTAATATGTATTTATCAGAATTTTAATAACTTGCAGGTTAAAACGAAGAACTTTGAAAACATTGGAACTGCAAAGAAAGCCATCCAAATATTTTAATGAGTACATATGAAAGACTGAATGTTTAAAGAACAAATATTTTTGAGCTCAAAGAAGAGAAGATTCAGAAATAGCTAGATGACTGCAAAAAAAAAGGGAGAAACCATCTGTTCTCTGTCTCTGGCGATGAATAAAATGAAAGGAAATGGGCTCAGTTGTAGCAGAAGAGGATCATTCTGACGTTCTAATGTTTATCAGAAACAGAAATAATTTGCTAAGGGACATTACGGTATTTCTTTCCCTGGAAATCTGCAAAAATAGACTAGATGTCCACTTTTCCAGGTATGACAGAGGCACGGTGTTCCCGAGGCACAGCGTGGAGTGTGTGAGACGCTGTGTGATTTTTCCTACTCTGCTGTGCCACGTGTCCACCAAGGGGCACAATTGACCAAGGGTTCAAGCTGCTCTCTGAACACAGCCTGAAGTGAGCAGAGTGAGGACGGCCTGGATCGCCTTCGCTTGGGGTTTTTGTAGAAAGGGCCGGGTGCAGAGTCCTTGGGGGGGTCACCTGGAGGGTACAGACAAGTGGGAGAAGGAAATTCACGGACTGGCTGGCTTGCAGGGGTGCGACAGGTTACAGGTGCGCTTATAGCAACAATGAAAAGTTTTCCCTGCAAGATGACAGACAGGATGCTGGACCAGTACAGGTAGGAAACATAAACAACTCGAATTTCCAAGTTGTCTCCAAAACACAAAATCTGCTGAACCTAAAGCTACAGTCACCTGAAGCCCGTTACTGTGCTGTCCTGACAGACAGACCTGGGCACCAGCAGAGGCAATGACTTGCTTGGGGAATAAGAAATAGCCATCCTCACTGAACTCTCTCATTTCCATGCTTTCCTGAAAAATCACTCCAAGGCTGTCCTATTGGGTAAAATCCTAACTTGTCACCAAGCTGCACCCTGGATTCACAGCACAGACCTTCGGGCAGGACGGACTGCGTGGCAGGTACGGGAGGGTTAGAGTTGGAAACTGTGGCTCTGGAGTCCTCAGCGAGACACCGGCACAACTGAACCTCAAGGACATGCAACGATCCAAGGAGCACTGTCACTCAACGTGCTCAGACGGGAGGTGAATTCTTCAGTGTTCCACCACCTCACAGTGACCCCCATGAGAAACAAGCTCCATGACGGAGCTCTACCAAAATCGAAAAGGCCCCCAAATAGGCCTTGTGTTGAACGTGTGTCCCAGCAGCAGAGGGTTTGTTCTGACCAAGCCTCGTTGTTGAAAATCCTGCCAAAGCCACAGCTCCGATGCATCGCCAGCCAGCATGCCTCAGGCGGGCTAGTCCAAAAGCAGGTGAGAGCCAGCACTCCCTGCACGATTTCTACAAAGGGTCGGGTGAGGTGAGATGATGATGCCTACAGGGACCTTTTGAAGCTATGTTTGCATAGCAAAGCTATAAGTATATAAAAATACCAAAGTTGCCCTGGCCGGTTTGGCTCAGTGGTTAGAGCATCAGCCTCGGACCGAAGGGTCATGGGTTCAATTCCCGGTCAAGGGCATGTACCTCGGCTGCAGGCTTGATCCCCAGCCCCGGTCTGGACACGTGCAGGAGGCAACCAATCCATGTGTCTCACGTTGATGTTTCTCTCTCTCTCCCCGCTTCCTCCCTCCCCTCCACTCTCTCTAAAAAGAAACAATCAATGGAAAAAAATATCCTCAGGTGAGGATTTAAAAACAAAAAAACAACAACATGAAAAAAAAACCATGAAGTTTCCTGAACATGTTTTACTCAGACTTTATATGAAACTGAGACCATGTCTATTGTCACCAAGCGTGAATATTCTCCTTTGTGTTGCCCTTATTGTTATTGGGAGTATTGATGGAGGTACTGAGAGGTGCCAAAGCCACCTGTGACAACCAGTGACTGTGATGTCGCAGCTCGTGATTGGCTGGAATGACAGTGTAAAATGCCGCCCTGGACGGAGCTCCTTTTTGCGCAGAACCAAACGGCCCTCCTCCCGGCCATCATGAAATCAGCAACTCCAAGAGCACAGGACTGCGGCCCAGACACCCAGATGGTAGCTTAATCGCCTGAAAGAATTAATAGTGCACCTCCAAGCACATCACTCACCCAGAGAACAGCTCAGGCGACGGGGGAATCTGGCCCATTATACCCCACACAATTGCTGAATAATATGTAATCACAGAAACGAAGCCTGGCATATGGTAATCTCTCTGCTATATTGAGATTCATTGTAACAGAAGCGCTGTCCAGAGCCCTGCGGCAGGGGTTCGAGGGGCATACCTTTCTTTTCCGGAAGAAACATTACAATGAGACAAGCCAGTCCTCCCAGGCACAGAAACCCCGCTAATGTCCGCTTCCGGCCAAACCTGAATAATAGAAAGAAATGACACGTTTCTCTCAAGGATCTTACAAACTCATCTGCTTCTTCCCCCGGCCTTCCTTTCTCAGGGTCCTCAGGTTCATTGCACGTGTTCATCTTTTCTTAAGGAGTGGGTGGCAAATGGGACTGCTCAGGACATAAAATAACCATCGTAAGACAAAGGAAAAGTTGCTGGGTGGCAGGATTAAATAATATATATGTATGGGGGGGAATCATTCTGTCTATTTCTGTACTTACTATGTTCCAGGCAGTGTTTTAAATGCTTTCTATTATCTTACTTAATCCTAATGATAAACCACAGGGCGTGTACTGTTCCCTAGACTCCCCGTCTCCCAGAGAAAGAAACAGAAAAAATGGAACCTGGTAGCTCATTTCAATTTCAGGTCACTTGAATCTTAAGCAGTTAAAATTTTAAACACTGTCCTTTCTCTCCCTTAAACAGAAACAGAAAATTTTTCTTATTGGTAGGTCAGAATTAAGTGAAATTCATTGCACACTTGATTGGGAGAAGCAGTTTTCAAATAAGAGCTCTAGGCTTGGAAGAAAGGTGCTCACATTAATCAGCCTCCCTTTCCTGGGGGCTGCAGCTTGCTAGGTCCTCTGTTAGGAACTTCAGCGTTACTTGTCATCTTTATGACAATGTTGCCAGGGGAGTTTTATAGTCCCTGGTGTAAGGGTGGGGGCCAGGGAGGCCTAGGGAGGTAACTTGTCAAAGTCATAGGACTAACACGTAGCTGGGGCTGGATGTGAGTTCAGGTCTGCCTGACCCCAAAAGCAGCATTCCTTCTGTCTGTTTCAGACTTCCATCCTGACTCCGGTGGTAGTAGCTGGGAGACAGGGAAGGACTTGAGCCTCCCAGCCTTTCAAGTGACAGGTCCCATGCTAGGCAGGCACTAGGGATGCGAAGATACATAAGATGCCCTCATGGACAGCATCCTCATAGCGCTTTAAGTGGTCATCAGAAGTGTGCACGGGAACCTGCAACAGCACAAAGGAGGGGTGTTTGGCACGCTGGGGACGTTTGGGGACAGATTTCTGAATATGCCGCCTAACCCGGCCCTTAGACCACGATGGGAATAAGCTTCGTCACTCACGGAGCGGTCAGCAGAGGACCACCTCCCAGAGAAAAGCTTCCAATCCTACCACTCAAAATGTGCTGAGCTCAACATCCATGGCAACAGCACCAAGGGCAACGCTAAAGAAATGCCGCCTTTGGTTAAAATGATGACTTCTGGAGACTGAGAAATGGTGCAGTCCAGCCGATTCCCAGCTCACACAAATGGGATTTTTCGTTGCCGGGTCAGGAGCTCAGTAACAGGAGGGATCTGAGAAAACGGAGGACAGGGTGCTCTATAAAAGAACTTAAGTATTTTGAAACTGTGGCCACTAACAATGAGCAGCAAAACAGAATGTATTCTTTCCCTCAACAAAGTCACAAGGGCCTTAAGAGGTAAGAAACATCTTTCTAGTTCCCCCAGTTCTTTGTCTGAACTTCTGAACAGCAGTGATTGGGTTGATGGGGTTCTACTTCTATCTACATAGAGCCAAATAATCCCACCTGCTGGGACTAACAAATTATGCACAGATGACTCAAAAACCTTCAAGTAGTGCCTGGCAGTGTGGCCCGGTTGGTTGAGTGTTGTCCCATGGACCAAAAGGTTGCCGGTTCGATTCCTAGTCAGAGCACATGCCCAGGTTGCAGGCTCGATCCCCAATAAGGGAGCATGCAGGAGGCAGTCGGTCAATGTTTCCCTCTCTTTCACTCCCTCTCCCTTCCTCTCTCTCTAAAATCAATAAAAACATATTAAAAAAAAACACACAAAAACCACTTTCAGTTAGTAACTCCTTGTAATACTGGATTGCAAACCTACATAAAAATTTGTAAACATGAAACTCTAGAAATACTGCACTAAAAATGAATTATAACTGTGTTTGGTCTGAAAAAATTCTAATCACTGGAGTAATTAGCAGATGCTATATATGGATAAAGACAGTCCTGATTAGGTATTTATGCACATGAGAGTGTGAGTGTATAAAGCACACTTCAATATTCACCTACACTCACCATTTGTGGTTAATCAGGTAGATGCAGAGAGGGTAAGACGGAATCTCTATGAGGCCGGACAGGGCCAGGTTGGCATAAATGTTCCCGCCCAGATCACCTGCACTCAGGGTCAGGCCATAATACACCAGGCTGCACACAAACCTGCAGGGGGGTTGAAGAACAAAAGGAGCAGCAGTTAGGATTTGCCAGGAAGATTCAAACTCTGGTTCGACAGGATGCGATCTGTCTCAAGCAATAGGTTTGACCCTCCCGCTAACATTTCTACCCCAATCTCAATTTCTAGACTAGGAAAAGACAAAGAACAAAAGGGCCTTGGAAATCATTTGTCTAGACGCTGGATGAAGCAAATGCCTGGCCTGCTGCTGAGAGAGAAAACACATCATGCTCTTGTCAAGCACTTTTGCATCTAGTAGAAGACAGTGGCTCCATGCTTACTTGATTTAACACAATTTATGGAACACTTGCCTTAGGCAACTGTTGTAAGATTATCAAAATGATTATAAAAAAGAAATCCCAGGGAGAGAGCCCACAGAGGGTGGCGTTGAGGGCGTGGGCTGAGGAGTGACTGGATAGCCAGTGGGTCACCTGCAGGCCAGAAATGACTGGCGCTCGGACCCCAAGCTGACTCTCAACCCCACTCAGCACTCAGCAGGTTCATGTGCTGCAGCCACCAGAGCAGGAGGGAAGAGACAAGGGGGTTGGTGGAGGCAGGCAGGCTTCTCAGGATGGTCCACCGGGAAGGGCCCTTTGGGAAGTCGTGCGTTTATTTACACACTCCACTGCGGAAACACCTCCTAGGTGGCAGGCACTATCCCTGGCACTGAGCCTACCCCCGTTCCTGGGAACCAAGGAGCCCAGGGGCAAGGCCAAAGTGCCATCCCGAAGCTGCTAGTTTGAGGCTTCCTCCAACACAGTGAAGGGAGTAATAGCAACTTCTGTGTCTAGGAAACTGCATTATTAAAACAAAACAAAACAGAGCAGCAGAACGAACAAAAATAAACCCTGAGACTAGGCTTTCATGATATATGGGTACATTTTGTAAACCACACGTTTCTACACAAACAGTAAAACACTCGGGCTTTGGAAGTTTGCCAGTTTTTAGGTTTTCGCGATGCACTTTAACAAGTGTTTATTTTGGGGTGGTTCTCATCTGCTCCCCTGGTTTTCCTTAGACAAAGTCTAACGCGCTGTGGCTATGATGAGATCGAAGGGGAAAGGAAAGCTTTCTTCCCATCTCTGCCAAGGCAGCTGAGCGGCCCAAGCGCCCTGGGCTAGGAAGAATGGGCTCTAGTGACAAAGAAGGGGGGAGGGGGAGGGAGGGGAGCCCTGCAGCGGGGCTGCTTGATGTTCATGCCTCTGGCCAGTGAGCCAGGGCAGCGGCTACTCCCCATTGCTTCTTACTGGGGAGACCTGTCACTCATATGCTAAGGACAATGAACAGCATGGTAGCCAGGACATCACAGGTGAGGATGTGGGGGGCCACGGAGCTATTTTCCTTGGCCCCTAGCACCTTGCCTGAACAAAGGACACAGACCGGGAGGCGTGCAGATGAAGAGAACCTTTCAAAGCCAAACCTGCCCGGCTGGTATGGCTCAATCGTTAAGCATCGACCCATGAGCCCTGCCCCGGTGGCTCAGCTGGTTGGAGCATCACCCGGCACAGCAAAAAGGTGGCAGTTTGATTCCCAGTCAGGGCACATGCCTGGGGTGCTCTAACCAACTGAGCCATCCAGGCAGGGCCTATTTTTCTGGGGAGGGGGAAACAGGGTAACTTAAATATTTACATCAAATGCTCATAAACAAAGGTGTGTTTCTGACGTCAAGTTGGGTAAACCTGCCTTCAGGCACTATCATTTCCTCCTTGACAGGGAGGGTGTGAAAACAGAGGCCAATTCCAGGCACTCAGGGAGGGGACCTTGTTTCTGGGAAATAATTTCGTGCTGACAAAAGAGGTAAAATTTTGTCACCCTGAAGAAGGACCAGATGACCAACAGGCCTTTAGCAAGGGGAGCTGAAGATCAACACAACCCCCATGGCCATAATTACCAGATGAACATCAGGGTGAGAGTGTGCCCCAAGAGCACCCGGTACCGGAACAGGTCCAGGAAACTTCCCGTCTCCTTGCAGCTCCTGTTGGCCGGATGCGTCAGTGAGAAGGTGCACTTGAGCTTGCGGTTCCTCCTGGCGATGCGGTACAGAGCCGCTTCCGCCTCGCTCAGGCGACCCTGGGAGTATAACCAACGAGGTGATTCAGGAATGAATCTGAAAGAGACGTCATTAAAGGCTGTATATTCATCTGGGTCCACATGCAGAGGGAGGAGATGAGTCCCTCACCGCCACCGATTCCACGGCAGGCCCAAAGCTGACTCTCCCCGCGACAGGGAGAGAGGGCTGCTGAACACCTGCCAGCGGTGAAGGGTGGCTACTTTATGAATGGGAACCGAGACCACGCTGCCAAAAGAGCAGGGAAACTGGTAAATGGTATGCATTTACTTTTAAGAACATTTTAATATGTGAATGGCAAGGTAAGACTATAGCACTAAATACTACAAATGCTTCATAAGGCACAGCTCGGAGTCCTGGCTCTAATCACAGCCCGGTGTTGTTAGAATAATACTGTGGAGATAGCAGGCGTTTTAAGTTCTGGAAAAGCCCCACAAAGACGATAAAAATCTTTATTATCTCATCAGAAAGAGTAAACTTGTACAAAGTGTTCTAAACATAGTGATATGTGATTAAGAACGGAGAGGTTATTTTAAGACCACACATAAAAATTCAACAGGGTTTATCACAGATTAGTTCCTTTTGAGCATTTACTGCTTCAAAATACCCCAAGCAGCTGAGACACTGGCTTCAATATGTCACGAGGATATTTCCTGAATCCCCCAAGATCTTATAAAATACAAGTTGCTTCCTGGTTAGCTTCCAGTTACAGAACAATAGATAACTTCTACTACGGCTACAAGGTATTGAACATTTATTTTGAGACTGATAACTTCCAACAGTTTCAAGACTTAGACATCACGTATACCTTCCTTTCCCTTCCCAGTTCTGCTCGCACCTGTAGAGGACTTTTCAAAGACAAAACTAGGCAGGAGCATGGAAGCTTTGTTTACTAAACACATTAAGTGCCTTTTGATTGAATTTGACGTTATTGGCCTAAAATGAAACTTGTATAAATAACATTGGCTATTTAAGGGGCTTTTCAGTAAGGGCAGTGGATTGGCAACAGACACCAAAGAATCTGGAACTTCCTGGACAGTGAGTCCATCAATAACCATTTATTAAGCACTTGCATGTTGTTACTGGGAAGAGAATATTCCTGTACAATGTTTGTCAAAAAGCAGGAACTAAGGCCTCTACAACATCCTGAAAAATCCCTTTATTTACTTCCTGATTACCACTTGGTTATTACTTTACACCAGTAAGTAATCAAGTAAAATACTGTTGGCAGTTGGGTTTGGCAACCATCCATTGGATCAGCCGGCCCTGTCCACAGGTGAGGTGCGGTGTAAACTACCTGCTGAAATTTAACTACACATAGAAAGAACAAAAGAGGACTTCTGGGGTGAATGCAGATAGTATACTTAGAATAGAAAAATCAGTGAACTGCTAGAAAATACAAGATAAAAACATTTAAAACTGAGGACTGGGAGGAGTGATAAAGAACCAATAAGGAAATAGCCAAAAAACTAAGTCATTATCTTTGGGTAATTTAGGTCATTTTCCTTTCCCTTTAACTTCTCTGTGCTTTCAGAATTGTTTAAAAGCCAAAAAAAAAAAAAAAAAAAAAAAAATTATCTTAAAACTTTATCAATCGTTTTTAAAGACAGTAGTTCAGAGATACTCAGGCTTTGGAAATTTGACTCTGAGTGAATGAAGTTATTTTTACTTGGGAAAGGGTTGATCTTGATTATGAAAACTCAGGAGCTGATATTTCTCCACAGTTCGAGGAGCCAGTAAGCTCCTCCACAGCCAAGGCTCAGCCGCCAGCGGGCAGACCGGGAGCGGGAGCCCGCCGCACGCAGGCTACGCAGGCGGGGCACGAGGCCGGGCTCTCGAGGGAGCAGGCTTAGACACGCCGCCCTCCTCCGACTGAACAGCGTTGCCTCTGCTCAACGCTGTTAACCAGTGGAGAAACCTTTGCGAATGAAGGGGGCCCTAATTTATAAAATAAAACTGTTCAAATTCAAGTGTTGTGAAATGGAGGAATTTTTAAGCTGAGTAATAACAGTTTCAATAAAAGCAATAAATAAGGTATGGCTCTAAAATAATGTGACTTTTTCTTATGTTGCTGAGGGCTAATTCCAAATGTTTTTGTACCCACATATGCCCAACCGATACCAGGGCTCTACTGGGTAGCAGGCCCTGGGCTTCGGTGCTGGAGGAAGGTAACCTGCAAAACGCCTGCTGCTGTCAGAGCGCCCCTGGTGCAGAAGGAGAGCCGGGCTCCAGTGCGAGGCAGAAACAGGAGCACCGCTTGCAGGGTGTGGGCTGAGCGCTTCGGATTCAGAAAAGCAAGCGAGTGACTTGTGGCTGGAGGTAGGATCGGGGAAAGCTCAGGGTGGGCGGCATCTGAACAGACCAGGAAGGCTGCTAACAAACGGGAGGAAATGGGGAGAAGGCGCCGACCGAGCAGACAAGCCCACGGCACGACTGGAACAATGAGCAGCTCAGTTGCCTGGAACAGAGTGGGGGGGATGGGACAAGAGAAAACTAGGAAAAGTAAACTGGAGGCCAACTGTGCGGAGCCTCAGATTCCAGGCCTAACGGAATAGAGGTGTATTTCAATTTTAAGCGCTCCCTTCTCTCTGCTTCCTATTTTTCATGACGTGAATTCATTTCCCAGTGAAGAGATGTCCCCACTTAGCACTAAACAGTGGCTAATGCAGACGAGACACAGGAAAGAGAAAGGCAGATGGCTTGTCATCCGTCACAGTCACGCCACTACTGAAGGAGCGATGAGAGATCAGATGGAGAAATATGAGACATATTAAATTATAAAGAAAGCTCCTTTATCTACCAATATTTGCATGAGCGCTTATTAATTCAAGGTCTCTACTAGGCATCCATTTATTCCAAAAGTTTACAATACACAAGCTAATAAAATATTGTTAGTTTCCCTTTCTAATATAATTACATCACTCCAATTCATATAACTGAATATATTTAATAAACTTGCCATTTTAAATACAGGTTAACTATTTCTACTATATTCATTTCTGTACTTACTTTTGAGCCTGGATAAAGAGCTACTAAATTAAAGATCTAGCTGAGTGAAAATACTGCAGGTATCTCTGTCTCGCACAGAAGAAAGCTAGTACCATTGTATTTACCCCATAGATTTTCACGATTAAAACGAGAGATCTGATACTTCCGAAGAAACCCTTTCAGAAGCACATGGAAATTGCAGGTGAAACAGCCCAGGGGTGGTGGCTGGCTTTTCAGCATTTCGAGCACTGTGGTGAACACTGCGGGTGAACGGCCTTAAACCCTGCCCTGACCAGGAACTTGTCCTTTTACTGTGTCCAGCCCGGGCGCCTCAGTTAAGGATTTCTCCCCTACATGAGCATCTTCCCGCATCCACATCGAAAGGCCCTGAAATATACCCATTTGCAAGATGAACAGCTGCCCCCTGAATATTCCTATGAATAGATGGCGCTGTAAAATCGTAACTCTGTCACACGCCCAGCCCACGACGTGATCCAGCCTGGATATCTTTACGTTTGAGGCAACAGGTGAAAAAGAAACTGGTCCCCGGTGCCATAATGTGAAAGATAAAATGCAGTCTGTCGAGAGGTGACTTTAAACAAGGGATACCTGCCGCCTGAGTTAATTAAGCATCTCTCTTCCCCGGAGCGGCCAAGCATGGGAGCGCCCGCGGAATTTAGCTCTTCGGCAAGGTCAGTTCAGGCGCATTCCCGCAAGGGGGTAACGCCGCTCACTGACCCGCGTCCTCGGAGACATTCCTTCTGCTTATTGAGCTTAAACTCTACGAGAAAGAATACTTACAAAGACAAGAGGAAGACCACTGTCCCCTGCAGGTTAACCAGCACGGCCAGGTTCCTCCAGGAGCGGATCAAGTACCCCAGCAGGGCACACTGCGCGATGCCAACTGCGAAGAAGAGGCTGGTGATCGAACCTGGTTCGGGGAGGAGAGACCTGTTACTGGAGAGGCGCCGTCCCGGGCCACTTCCAACCCACGTCACAGAGCCAATCCCGTCCCTGGGAGATGTGAGCTAAAGAGAAACCTGCACAAATATCAAGCAGCAGACGACACACTAGAAGAGAGGCCAGCAGATGAATGGAAAGGAGGAAGGACAGGTGAGAAGTACACACGGCACATGGGCAGGACGAATTTGAAGGCTGTCCGAGGGGCACCGCTTGCTGCAGTGCCACCTGCCTGGCCTGTGGCTGGCCTTCGGAACACTGTTCGCTCTATAACCATGAGGTTTTTAGGTCATGAGATTATTGCAATACTAGGACTTCACTTCCTCACAGATGCTGTCCCTGAAATCCTTATTTTAAATCACAGCCTGCCTCCCAATTCTCCCTATTGCTCTTCCCTCCTTAATTTATCACAATCAGATATGACACGTTTTATTTTTTTCGCCTCTGTCCCCCCAAGTAGAATATAAGCTCCATGAAGCAGGGATTTTTGTCAGCACACTGATAGAAAAAAAAATTAACCCCGGGGTTAAGAATTGTATACGTTTTAAAATAAATGCTGAGATGGGTATTAAACCCACTGGTTTGCCTAATATACTTGCAAATTCTATGCCTCTGTCACACTTTCCATACCTGCTATTGTAGCTAATAGTACCAGAAATAGCTGCTATTTATATAGCAGCTACTATTTATTGAGCACTAGCCTTTTACATACAGGGTGGCAGAGCGCAGGGGCCATTGCTAGCCATCTACGGAGGGAGCACACAGCTCAGGGAGGTCGCGGCTGCTGTCTGGGGAGGCGCAGCTGTGTGTGGCAGGGCTGGGACTCAGACTCAGGTCCGTCTGAGGGGAGACTGCATTCTGTACACCCCCTGTCCCACCACCCTTCCAGGGAGGGGCGGGCTTCTGCGGGCATCCCATCACAAAGGACTTTGTCGACCCTGTTACACAAATTTTCTACCCAAATCCTGTAAAACCAATGTTTCCTTTTATCTTTGTTCTTAGACGATCAAGCTATAACTAAAAGTAATGTCATGTATACCGTGTGAGGCAAAAGGGGAACCAAGGGGGACAGCTGATGTGACACTGCGCTCAGAGTGTTCAGAACGTGTGGCCCGATAAGCAGGGGAACGGAGAGTGTGATTTCCCTGGAAATTTAAGATAATCAATAGCTATTACAGGTTCATTACGGCGCATCAAAGAGCACCTGGTTTCCACGGATGAGGTTCCAAGTCCTCGGGAACCACTGCAACATGTAGGCAAAAACAAGCAAGTCCACAGGATGAGACCTTTGCAGAGGGACCAAACTCAAACCCCAGTTCTGCCACATGCTGCTGTGTGACTGTGGGCAAATTGCTAAATGTCTCTGAGCCTCAGTTTCTCATCAGTGAAATGGAAATAATACCTACTTCAAAGGGTAGTTGTTAGTTTCAGATGAAATAATGCATGCTATACAACTGTAAATTTGTTCTCCTATAATATGGATATAGTCCCTTATATCTAGTAACCCCACCCCCAAGAAAAGCCACCTAAGAGCCTCCTGGGGTGAGCATCTATTACAGAATATTGTCTACCTAGCACTCCTTTCTAATTCTACACCCCTTCCCCTTCTGGAGAGCTGGCCCCCCACCCTTCACCCCGGCAGTTCAAGTGGGGGCTGCCAATCAGAGCTCCCCTAGCTGCAGGGGTGACCCCAGCTGGGCCAGTCAGAGCTTTTACCCAGGATGGTAAATACTGGACTTGGCAGTGAAATCTGAGAGCTGCTGGGCGCATCCCTGACCGAGCAGAGGAAGCTTCTCGGAGAGGATGAGGGCTGTATGTATTCTTTACACTTGCATTTATTTCTTTATTTTACTTTACAGTGGGCATCCATTCTTTTTTGTTATACGATATTTACATAAGGGAAAAATAAAAAAATATATTAGTATGAAAATGTTCATGTCACTAGTATTTTATTTTGCTATTCTCAATAATTTTCCATTATCTTCCTGTTAAAAGACACTACAAATCTATCAGAAATGGATGTTTTAGGCTTATACATACATTTTTCCGTAAATACTTAGTATTTTATACATATTGCAAACATTATTTTGTAAATGAGCATAATTTTTCAAATGATTTTTTTTTTACTGTGAACAATTAGGCTACTTCCAACTAATCCCCTATTGCTGAACACTTAGGTTTTCTCCAATGGTTGCAGTTCATGAACATATCTGAAGCCCAGGAGTGTGTAAGATTGTGCTGGAGAGAAACCAGCTTAGAAAGGTCCAGGACAGGACCCTGGGGACAGCCCCAGATCACAGGGCAGAGAGACAGACGCTCCTCACAAGGGTCCCAGGTGCCGTCAGAATCATCCTGTCTCGGGTGCAGGTCAGTGGATGGGCCTTTGGGGAACCCTCTCAGGCTCGCTCTAATTTCACTGTGAATTTGGCAACCATCTGGCTCCACTGTTGCAGGTTTCCCCCTTTCTTCTTTTGTTATTTGGTACAGAAATTTTAATAGCCTCTTCTTACCCCAACATCAAGGACACTGGCTCTAGGCAACTGGCAAGGGTACAAGAGACCAGAAGGTCTTTCTTTTTGACTAAAACATGCAATGGGCCAGGAATAATCCTAGATGATCTGGCAGGGTAGGGGTGAAAAATGCCCTTCTGGGGAAATCAACACTCTCCAAATAATCTGAAGGCAATCTGTGAGGATGGGGGCAAGCTCACTGTCTGTGAGGCAGACCCCTGGGAAGACTTTCTACAGAGAAATACAAATGGCATGTTCATGGTCAGACAGAACAAACTCAGGTACGAAAATCTAAGAGTTGGACAGAGCGCTTCAAGTCCAAGTGCATTTTTAGACTCTAGGGTTAAACTGGTTCCCTACAGAGTTTTCAGGAGCAGCTCACCACCTCTGCATCTATATGGATTCAAGCAGTACCTGCCAGTGCCCAGTAGGCGGTGCCCACACATTCGTTCAGCAGGACAAAGGCCACCAGCGACATCCCTCCATTCATCATGCCCACCAGGAAGCGGGTTGTTACAAAGAACTCGTACGAGGGGGAAAACCCATTTGCAATAGCAAATAAAATGTCGAGAGCAAAACCTAGAAAGAGAGGAACAGTATTCAATAACCCAGAGACAAAACAGCATTTGGTAGAATAAATGATATTCATTAGTTTGTAAACGTAAATCTTTGTCAACTTAAATTTTCTGACAGTTTGTTTTCAAAAAGCATTCTCTTAAAAACTATAAATAAAAGCCAAGGTTTTCTTTCTTTGTTCCAAGTTGATTTCTGTCAATCATGCACCATTTTCAATTATTCACAAAAAGGCTGGAAATTAAAAAAATCCTAGCTCTACTCAGCTTCTCAAGAGAACTATGCTGAGTCCTCTGGAGCTCATTGGAAATGAATCAATAGCACAAGGTGGAAGGAAAGGGATCTGTGGACTCTCTCAGTCGCTGCTCTTAGGAACACGGCATAAGTTAGAATTTGGGGCTGCAGGAAGCACCATCATCTCTGAAAAGCTCACGATGCACAGACCTGGCCTCGCCAGCTGTGCCGGTCACTTGAAAACGCTTGGCCAGAATCCACGCCGGCTGCAGTCCGGCCTCTGCCAGCGTAACAAAAATCAGTTCTCTGTCCACACGGAAATTCCCCGAGAGCTTAAGGAAACGGTCCCCTAGTCCCCTTGCTGCTTCCCCGAGAACCTCAGGGAAACGCGCCCTCTCACTCTGCCCCAGGACACAGCGTGTCACCTGCGAGGTAGACGGGTTTCCTCCCGAAGCGATCGGACAGCTGGCCGAAAGAGATGACGCCCACGAACACGCCGCTGAAGAACAGCGAGCTTGCCGCGCTCACTTTGTAAGATCTGCTGGCAATTAAGAACCACTGCGGGAAGGAGAAACAGAAGAGACACTTAGGTCACTGGAAAGACGGGTGGGTTGGGCTAGCCACTAAAAACAAGTGCGTAGCAAAGCTTGTGACCCGAACTTCTCGGGGTCCTGCGGCCTCTCGCTCTGGAGAGTGAGGGGTGTGGAGAGAGGGAATTCACCTGACATTCCAAGGCTGTGTTACGTAGACGCAGAAAGATCATGGACGTGCTCAGTTAAGGTACAGACTGACCTCTGTCAAGGAAGACACCGGCCTAAGATGTGACTGCCCACCAGGACTCGCTTTTAGTTGGGACGTTTTCATTTCGGGCCATCCCGTGTGGTTACTTTCGGTCCCCGAGTCCGCAGGGCCGCCACGCCGGCCTCCCGAGCTTGTCAGGGGCAGTATGTGGCCCCTTTTCATCCACACTGGCCAGAAGTGTCAGAAGTGTAGTAGTGGACATTAGAGGAGACACAGGAGGGGTGTTTTTCCTTTACCTGGAGCAGTCAAACCCATAGAGGCGGACAGCGGAGCAGCGGTTCCAGGGGCCGGGCGAATGGGAGTTACGGTTCAATGGGTACCAGTTTCCCCTTGTAGAGATGGACAGTGGTGACGGCTGCACATTGTGAATGTACCTAATGCCACTGTACTGTGCAGGCCAAAAAGGGGCCACGTACTAACCTGACAAGCTCAGGGGAGGCCTGCACGGCGGGCCCTACAAACTCAGAGACTGCAAGTAACCACACAGGACGGTCTGAGCATAACAGTTCCTAAGAGTGAGTCACGGTGGATCGTCACGTCCTAGGCCTGCAGCTGCCCTGACAAAGGTCAGTCTTTGCCTTGAGTGAGCCTGTCTACTGTCTGTTTGCATCTAAGATAACCTATCCTGGGAATTGTCAGAGTAATCACCTTTTTCCAGACCCCTCAGGGCACAATCTCCCACCAGAGGGAGGGACCACAGAACCTCTCATTGTTGCCCAAATACCATCTCCACGTGCTGGGAATGTTCACTGTTAACTGCCCTGCACCCACCCACGGGAAAGAAGTGTGTGTCTAGTTTTACTCTTCACCCAGCTTCAGAGGTTTCCCACTTTGCTTTCTCCCGCCGCCCTAATCTAGCACCAGTGGGCTCCATGTAGCCCTCCTTACGCCCCTTCCTTTCATTATAACGTCTATAATAAACTGCAAAGCTGCCATTCTCTGGAGCATTTTCTCGAGCCGCTGAGATTTTGCTTCCCCGCAGTTGTCATCAGTTTGGCTCAAATAAACTCATAACAATTCTCTACAGGTTTGGATGTTTCTTACGTCGACAACTGTATTCTGCAAAATGGTGAAAATGGTCCATTTTATGTTATGGATATTTTACCACAATAAAACATCCCTTGAGTACCATTACCTTCTATTTAAGGGAAGCATGTAACCCTAAAGAGAAAGTAATGGCCCTCTGCTTAACCCGCCCTTATCTAAAGCCCTGTCTAGCCGTGTGGTAGGGTGAGCATTGGTATAAAGTCCACCTGTGTCACAGAGATGTCACAGAGGTGGCCTCAGAGAACTAAGAGGATGCTCGCCTCTCCCCCCTCACAGCCCTTTTTTAGAGTCAGCAAAGGCAGGGTTAGGAAAGTCCCTTCTGGAACATTTGCAGGGAGCCTCCCTTCTCTCCCCGTTCAGGTCACTCCTGTCCCGTGATGTTTTGACCACCACTAACCACGGCCCACAGCAATGGAATTTCTCTCCTCCTCCTGCATTTCCTGTGAGGCCGCATCGACAGGGATCTTGACGAGACAGCTCTGTACACCTCTGCGCAGCAAGAGCCACAAGCTACGGGCACTGGAATAAACAGGGACGCGGCCCTCTCCCGAACGCTGTGCTTTACTCCTAAATTCTATGGTTGATTAAGGTTAATTAACTGGCGTTCCTCACCCTTCATGGATTAGAAACCATAAACTAGGGTGTCACTGCCCTTAGAAATAGTCATCAGGAACTTGCTGCTTTGGGTGGCAGTCATAATTTCAATGAGAGAGTGACAGAAGCAATATGACCAAAAAAAATGAACTATGTTCCAGACATTTTTTCATTTGGTTATCCCATAAATATTTGATTAGTTTCTACCAGGGGTTAATAACTATTCCAAACACTGGGAATACAGATGTAAATGAGCTAGACAGTCCCTGCGCTCATGGAGAGGCAGTGCTGGTGGAGTAAGACAGGCATTAAACACATGAGCACCTTGGGAGAGGCTGGGAGGAAGCCCCTTTAAACAGGTGGCCAGGGAAGGCTTCTCGGGGGAGGTGACGTTTATGACCGGAACAAGGTAGACGTGATCAACCCTGAAAGGCTGGTCAGGGAACATGAGGATAAGTGCCATGGCCTTTAGGTGAAGACACATCATGTTCTGAGAGTTTGTTTTGGTGCCTTTAAGATCTGGCCTGCAACTTTAGCCTAGATTATTCTGCACTGCAACTTCTGCTAGTCTGTTAATATGGCCAAGATGTCTGGGCTCGCTCTGATCTGTTTTGTGCTTGGTCAATAAAAAGCGGTTCATGTGGCTGCTCCATAACCAACCATTCTGTTGACCACATCTGCAGAACTTCTCAAATCCATCAAAAAGGCCATAATACTAGCCTTCCAACAACTGGATAGCTACCAGCTCATTTGGCAGTTTCAGGAAGCAGTGGCCCAAAGGATGTTTGACCAGCAAATTCCAAATTCTGACTCTCAGGCTGCCAGTTCCAGTGTCAAAGTGATTTCTCATAATTTTCCTTCGGGTCAATGCTGGCTGGACTAATGCATTTCCCTGCTTCTCCTTGAATGCATTTGGGAACTGACAGAAAAATTGGGAGGCACTGCCAGAGTTTAAGAAAGCACATTGAAGCGTAAGAAGCTGGAACCCAGGAGGCATCCTTGACAGATCCAGGTGAACTGGGTGCTTGACTCAAGACTAAGGTAACGTGTTCACAATAGGCTTTCCATATTACCCCTCCGCTAACCTGTCAGGTTTTTATTTAAATGTTTGGTTTGGTTTTCAATTTTAAAAACTTTTCAAGTAGAATTTACAAACTTATCACATACCTATTATGTGACCTGAAGAGTTATTTTGTCAAGGCTCAAACGAGGCATATTAGGAGAGGGATCCCTTAGTATTTGAGAAAATGTACTGGTATAACTTGATTTTAAAGTTTTGAGAAGACTACACTTAATGTTAGTTAATTTCTTTGCCCTTTGGTTTAATATTTAGTACCAAGGTAAACCGAAACCAGCAATCACTAGGATATCAGAAATTAAACCATAATAAACTCCCCGAAAATGATGAGTGTGATGTTCTTGAAAAATGTGTTTTTTATGAGGCTTTAAATTTTAAAAATCATAAATTTCTAAGTCACTCAAAGCCTTAATTGGCTAGAGATTATCAAAGTGATGATTCTCCTATCATTTTTTTAAATGACAAGCCAAATTCTAGAGATACGGAAATGAATTTTCTTTTCTATATTAATTCATTTCAAATTGAAAAATCACTTGCAAATTTAAAAAGCAGGAAATCTTTTCTTCTTTCATTCATTAACAGAAGAGGAAAGATAGTAAAGACAAAATATTTTCGGTTTCTCAGGATGACCTAGATCAATCTACTTTTGCTTTATAACCACTATCTGTATTTTTGTTCATATGCTCACCACAATTACTGGAGAGTTCATAAGTTCACTTAGTATATGTACTTTCCAAAAGGAATTGCGGGGCCCAGCATTAAAAGCACTGGGACAGCCATTCCTTCATCTACAGAAAGCAGTCCTGAGGGAAAATCAGGCCCAACCAGGGACAGACGCCACTGAGAACAGCATGAGGACAGGGCAGGGTGAGAGCTGTGCTGTGGATCATACACAGTGTCAGTGACAGGCAGGTCCGAGAGCGGCACCCCTGCCTCTCACCTTCTAAAAGGGGGACTTGTTCACCACCCGGTGCAGATCGCTGGTGCGGGTGCAGCCTTCCCTGCAAGGGGACAGACGCATGGCTGTCCAGGGCACAGCCCACCCGATCATAAAGCGCAAGGAGAGCCTCCCCGGCTGCCCAGCAGGGCCAACCGCAATGGGCAAGCCAGACCGGGCAGGCGCTTAGTGACCGAGCGTCTTGCCCCCCACAGTCCTGCTGTGATGAAAACCAAGTCATTTTATGAGTGCCCTGGCCGTTCCCAGGCTCCCAGCTGGTCAGTATCTCAAGGCTGCGGGCTGGGACACACAGCAGCTCCCGCACGCCCCGCAGCAGGACCCCATGGGCCCCGCACCGCTGGGAGCTGGGGGCTGCCCTGGGGGATACGCTGAGCTATTCTGACAACAGGTCCAACTCTGCTCCCTTCCCCCACTGTCCTGCGTTTCCCGAAGATATATTTCCAGTCATGGGACAGGAACAATCTCACTTCAGGAGAGAACAGGGTGATCAGAGGCCTCTGTGATTAGGAAGAACTCGGACAGGGTGTTTCAGGAGCAATTTCATGGTGATTAACTGACCTGCTTCATTTCAATGTAGTTGTCACTCTGAATTACCACTTACTGGGTGACGTGTGCAGTGCAGGAGAGTCAGTAGTACAGGCGCAAGGAAGCAAGACATCGAAAAAAATGAGCCCCTAAAGCAATTATTGCAGAGAATTTTTCAAATAGTTTTAATACTCTGTCTTTTGACCCCAGGGTATGGCGTGGGGAAAAGATATTAATCTCAAGATTATAATCAGTCAATTTCGGTTGTATCTACAATGATATTAAAGACTCCAGCCTTATTCTTTTTGGCGGCAAACATTAATTAAGCACGATAATCGCATGTCTCCATGATATCTGGTCCTCTCCGAATGAGTCAGAGCTCAGGGAACCATGTGAATGAGGCAGACAGCAATTCGCCACATAAATTCACCCCAAAGGCTGCTGGCTCATTTTAAAAGAGCCGAGACTCCTAGACTAGAGGGTGGGTTTTTTGCATTAATACCAAGTTAATCATGTCTACATAACCTTTCATTTGCCCTTCCCAAAACCCTCCATGAATAACTTCTGCGAGGCCTGACCTGAATGTAATAAGGGGCAGATGAGAGTTTTAAATAAGCAGACAAACAAAATAGAGCCAGAGGCATGGATACATGGAGGAGACTGCCAGAGG